TGAGAACCTACCGATAATGAAAAAATAATCTGGCCACCCTGCTTGTTGAACAAGGCCGTTGAAATGACCAACTGCCACGCGTCTTATCGATTCCCTCGCCAATGAAGTCAGTCGGTAAGCTGTTGCTTAGGACAATCAGTGATTCTGTGTCAAGGGCATCGAACCGGACTCGACTCGAGCCAGCAATCAAACACTTGAGAAACTCCTCACTGCGGAGAATTTGCCAGGAAAGTCGACGGGATTTCAAAGTGGTCGATGGCCCTATGGCGATCGCTCATTCGCACACTTCAATGCTTCCGATGCATGCAACTGGCTGGCCAGCGGAAGAAATCCACGGTGATGTCAGCGTTCCTGAGTGTCTGATTAAGAACCTTGCTACACACTTATTATTTTTTCGCCGAGATTCCAACAGCCGAGTAGTTTTGTAATTTATTTTGCTGAGATTCAGTAAAACACTTGTCGAGACTCAGCTAACAAATTAGATTTTGCTGAGATCTCAGCTAGCAAACAGATAATTTGCAGACATAATTATCAGCAAAAGTAAATGACGAGGCAATCGGCTGTTAGAGATTTTACTGAGCTAGATTAAGTGTGTAAGAACTAAAAAACTGAATTGTAATCTTAAAAACTAACCGGACAACTGCGAGCGTCATCCTGTCAACGTTGCAATTTAATAAATATTGGACGTATTCCTCGCCATTATTCGAACTTAGTATAATAATTATGGGATCAAATGTTAAGCCGATCAATGCATAAACATTGCTTAACCATAATATGTTTAAATTTTAATCTTTCTTCGTTTAGTTATATTTGTGAATGTACACTGAACCAATATGCACGCTAACTTCTGCTTACTCACCAGGTGAGTCGATTGTACTCACTTTCGTCCGATGTATCGAGTTGTCAATAATTGAGTAAACGAGAAATTTCAAACTGAGTAAAAGCCACTCAGTCAGCAAAATCCTAGACTGGGGAATTAAGTTCACTCACTCGACAAAAACTGACACAACAGCTGTTTACTAAAAATGAACACATGAATAATACTCACGTAACATTTGAAACGAGTCTATATCAACTTATGTAAACAAAACTTGTTAATACCCCGTTCACATTACAGCCTATATCACGTAATATAGGCTGTCTTGCAATGAGCACTCATACATAGGATTTTCAGTGAAAACTAGATGTATGAGTGCTCATTGCAAAACAGCGTATATCACGTGATATACGCTGTAATGTGAATGGGGTATAAGCCTTTTTCGCGCGAACCGAATACGCTCACGCAAACTAACTCCCCTTCCCGATAGTGCTCTTGGTTTGCGTGGGCGTACTTCGGTTCTCGTGAAAACGACCTAGCAAATTATTTACAAAAGTTGATAGGCCCTTGTCAAATATTACGTGAGCATTATTCATGTGTTCATTTTTAGTTAACAGGGCCCCGCTGTTGTGTCAAAAAATTTCAGTAGATAAACTAAAGTTCACCCGTGCACAGGTCTATTGTAGAGTCGGTGTATAATGAGCAACCCCTGAGTATCTAGACAGAAAACCTTAGTTTCACGTACCCACTTACAAATTGTAGATGTCTCCACCGTACGTAAGCAATGGGGTCAGCCATCGTTGGTGGCACAACTTTTCCCACATCAGAAAATATGTTTTTGTTTCACTTCATGTGGTCGTCGAACTCAAGCCAAGAATAAATTATCAGTGAGACGTATTACTGATGTTGCATTGTTTTCCTCATATAAGGCAAATGGGAAATGCCCGAAACTGACAAATGTGGTCCGGGGCGCTCGAAATGTTTTTTTTTTAATTCTTTATTAAAGAGATTTTTAGCCTTAGGCTAGTTCATCTCTAACGCTCGAAATGGCCACAATTCATTTGGTTATCATATTTTGAAATAATTCGTTTTGTCCCATGATAGGTTTTATTCCTTACCGGTCAAATTTAGTATCATGGTTCACATTCTCCGGAACATGTTCCTACCACATTTCCTGCACCAGTTGACCGATTCTGAATCCGTTCAATAATGTTCTATAGGTGAGGCTATGGGATCATGATACTTTTCGTTTGGTGGTTGTTGCGAGCAATTCGCATTAGTGGTTACCGATAAATATGACTTAGTTCCCAAAATGTATGTTTTTCGGAAATTGTGCCGCCCATATCTCTAAAAATAGTTGACCGATTCTAAATTACCTTTTATTTGCTGGTTGTTTCGTTTAATTCGGTTATGTGGTTACCGAGAACACCACTTAGTTCCCGAATTCCGTGATTTTCGAATTTTTTTTTCCGTCCAAATCACCGGAACCAGTTATTCGATTAAAAATCTGTTCATTAACATTGTATAAAATCATGGTACCTTTCATTTGGTGGTTGTTGCGTTCAATTCGGTAGAGTGGTTGCCGAGAAATACGTTTAAGAAAATTGTGATTACGCGCTCTCATACATACATACATAGACAGACACACAGATTATATTAAAAATATCAATGTTTTTACACAAAATAGAAACAACAACAAAAACTCAAAAACGTGAAAAAAAGAGTTAATCAAAAATAAGACCAATTGTAAATTTACTCCACCATTATTCGATTTGACAGAACCAGAGTACCAGAATTTTCGGGGTACATAGACATTACACTGAAGCTGTCAAATAGCTCCCGGGGTGATAATGAGTCACGCCAAGAGTGAAGCCAAGTCTACCTATTGAACTGTCAAACCGGCTACCTATCGTGCAAAGTAAACAATCATTACGATACTATGAAAAGTCCACGATAGGTATTGCAATAACATATAAAATATAATCGAAGAAATGATCATAAACACGCAGTGAGCATAAAATTGTCATGGGATACGTTCGGTAATGATCAGTAAAGAGAATTTCTACTATATTTGTTAAGATAATTTGACAAAATCACTGATATAATGATTTACTACAGCTGCATTTTTTTTTTCTCTCGCTAGAATTCATTTGAATTTGATGTAGAAGTCCTCTGTTGCCAAGTGAAAAGAAAGGGAATCTTTCGAAAACCGTGATGCGAGTTCAACTGTTTTTCTCTTGGCGTGACTCATTATACACCGACTCTAGTCTATTGGACTCAGTCTACGTCATGGTGGGTATATAAATGGTGATACAGCTTTGTCACTATATAGGCGAGGAGGTCGGGGGGGGGGGGGGGAAAGTACGGTTTTAGAGCAAATTGTAAACAAACTCGGTCGCTGTCCCATACAAAAATCCAACATGGCTGAATCTTCATGAATGTGACACATTAGAACACCTATATGTAGTCACCTTGGTCTACGGAGAACGTCGTTTACACGCTTATTATGGTCAACTCAAAATTTATTCGAATGTACTCATCTCAGCGGCAAGTAGGGCTACTCAAAATTGAGTAGCTTTATGTTGACTCACTTTTGAGTAAACGATATTCTCACGTAGACTGAGTCAAATCCACTCGCCGGTATTTTCAGTTGCGGGGAGGGTTTTTGTTTTGATTTTTATTTAAGGAAATGGAAATTGCCTGCCCCGGATTCATTCTACCGGAGCAGAAAATGGTTCAACACCGTTTCCCTAAGCAATTCGTACTTACCCAAAGGCATTTCAGCCGGTTTTAAAATAACATTTTCTATAAGATTACCTCCAAAAGTGACTGGCATTTTTTCCAAGTCCAGGATTTTGCTGACTGAGTGGTTTTTACTCAGTTTGACATTTCTCGATTACTCAATTTTTGACAACTCGATACATCGGACGAAAGTGAGTACAATCGACTCACCTGGTGAGTAAGCAGAAGTTAGCGTGTACTCAAAAGTGAGTCAACAGTTTCTGAGCACAGCGATATTTTTTTCGAACCCACACACTTTCATCTCGATTTTTAAATCAAGGTTTGAAGCAAAATAATAACTTCACTGTTTGACGCTAAACTCTAAGAGGAAGAGGTGACTAGAGTCGGTGTATAATGAGTCACGCCAAGAGTGAAGCCAAGTCTACCTATTGAACTGTCAAAGCGGCTACCTATCGTGCAAAGTAAATACACATTACGATGCTATGAAAGGTTCACGAAAGGTATTGCAATAAAATATAAAATATAATCGAAGAAATGAGCATAAACACGCAGTGAGCGTTAAATTGTCATGGGATACGCTCGGTAATGATTAGTAATGAGAATTTCTACTATTTTTTGTTAAGATAATTTGACAAAATCACTGCTATAATGATTTACTACAGCCGCAGTATTTTTTCTCTCGCTAGAAGTCATTTGAAGTTGTTGTAGAAGTCCTCTGTTGCCAAGTGAAAAGAATTGGAATCTTTCGAAAACCGTGATGCGAGTTCAACTGTTTTTCTCTTGGCGTGACTCATTATACACCGACTCTAGAGGTGACAATTGGCTTCTTCCTCTTTTATTTCTATCTCTATCTCTATTTTTATCTAGCTCTATCTCTATCTTACGCACATGAAATCGGCCAATCAGGAGCTGGTTCACGTTTGACAGAAAAGTGGTTCATTTTCGCCCCCGTATTGTCACCTCTTCTCTTATAGGTTTAACTAACAAACTGACAGCTCGCTCCCATACAAAGTGACACCGAGGGTAATAATAATAAGGTGATTTTTGCAAATGTAATCGTGCTTATTTAAAATAGTTCCAGTGTACCAAAATTGATTAAATTTTGGGTTTGGGTTCCATTTTTAATGCAGATTACGATTATGCATTTACCTCAATACGCTTAAAGAACCCAATTTTGAATAGCCCTACTTGCCGCTGAGATGAGTACATTCGACTCAATTTTGAGTTGACCATAATAAGCGTGTATACGACATCCACTTTAAGGGACCCCTCGATCCTGCCTGACATTTTCTCATTTTGTTTAGTTCTCTCTTCATTCGCATCATTTTGATTGCATCGCATCGCTATTCACCTTTCGCAACATTGCTTGCTGTTTCAGAACATCGCAGCGAAACGTAATCAAAATTTCAAATAATATTAATAGTTCGAATGAAATGTCAGAACCATGCAGGAGTCTCCGGAAGATTTTTGCCTAACGTGCCTTCAGCAAGCAGCAAACGTAAGTCTATTGAGTTTCAGTGTTAATGCCGAGGAGGGGAATTCCACCACCATAGCAAATGCCTTGGCCAAGCACTTTTGGTTTACGGTAAATCCTGTGACCAATCAGTGATTATCTTTCTGCTAATTGGGATGTTTGTTCCAGGAGGATGACTTCCAAAGAGGCTTTATATGCGAATCTTGCTGGCAGCAGGTGGATAGCTTTCATCGTTTCTACTCGACCGTGGAAGAATTGCATGGAAATCTAGTCCTGAAGTCTACTGCGGTCGATGTTAAATGTGAACCAGAGGCGGAAGACATTGAATACCTGGACGAGAGCTTCATGGACTTGATAGAGGATGGTGGTGAAATTAAGCAGGAGGAAGTTTCGGAATTTTCAATGCAAGACGAATCCAACGACGATGACGATGAGATGCTGCTGCCGGTGAAAGAAGAGACGGATACAAATCCCAGGAACAATTTGAAGAATCAGGACGATCTGAAGCCAAAGCGAACCTACTGCAAGCCCCCGACCAAAACGGTAGAGGAACGGCTGAGGGAAGATGAGTACATTGGGCAACACGTGAAGTATATCTGCGAGCAGTGCGGAGAAGATAGCGAAACTTTTACGTTGTTCCTGAAGCACGCGCTGGAAGCTCACGGGAATAAGTCGGCCTTTGTTTCCTGCTGTGGAAAGCGGTACTACAAGAAGGTTCGATTGCACCAGCACGTGCAGGCGATCAACAATCCGGACGCGTTCCGTTGTGAGCTGTGCCAGAAGAACTATGGCGATGCTGAGGGTAGGAGGGGGTCACGATTGTCATAGTTAGCTGCTGTTTTAATCAGTTTTCGAACTTAGGAATCAAACGACATATGAAGGAATTCCACACATCCGAGGCTGAGAAGATGTTCAAGTGTGAACGGTGCGATAAAAGTTTCGTCATGGAGTACAAATACAAACGGCACATGCAAGATCACGAGGATTGGGACAGTCAGAGCTGCAAATGCGAGCATTGTGGTAAAATGTAAGTTTCTTCGTTTTTTGTGGAATGATGTGAGTGTGAATTATGTTTCTTTGCAGTTACAAATCGCGTCACATTCTCAAGAATCACATCAAACTCAACCACACCGATCCGACAAGCTACATATGCGACATTTGTGCCAAGGGGTTTCACCTCAAGTCGCTGTTTCTGCAGCACAAAATGGAACACGAAGCTCCTGCGGAGCTCAAGGTGCAGTGTCAGGTCTGCTCGCGATGGTAAGATGTTATTTTTCTGCCATTTAAATTGAATTCTATAAACAACATGCTTTGTCCGGATCAGGCTAAAGAACCGCGAAAGTTGGCGCAGACACATGCACCAACACCGGGGAACGGATGCCAAGTGCGACATCTGTGGGCACATTTCGCCGCACCAGCGGGCACTGAAGGGACACATCCGGCGGCAGCACAGCAACCAGAAGCCGGAATTCGCCTGTACCTACTGTCCGAAGACTTTTAGCAAATCGATCACGCTGAAGGAGCACGTGGCCGCCGTTCACACCGGCGTCGTACTGTACAGCTGCCCGTTCTGTTTGAAGGCGTTCAATTCGCACGCCAATATGCACTCGCACAAGAAGAAGATGCACCCGCACGAGTGGCAGGCGGAACAGCAGATCAAGTTTTACTCGAAATAAGTAGTGCAAATGAAAAGTCGAATCGAACTGGAAACTGCGGCTGTTTCATTGCGATGACTTCCCTATTAGGGTTCGTGCGAGGTTTCCCAGATGCTTTGAGCTAGTTTGGGGTTTGAGTTGTCTTTGGAATTTTTATGAGAGAGTGAAAGCAATGGTGCTAGGGCTGGACACCGGAAATCCTTGCTCAGTTGGTCAAATGCAATGTATCTGACAGCATCCTTTTCTTCGTCCGGAATATTTCCAGGAATACGGGGGCAAAAACGAACCACTTATCTTATCTCTAGATAGAGCTGGAATTAGGGCGTAACAGCTTTTGTAAACAATGACTTCTCTTGATGATTTCTAGACAGTCAAGGCTCGTCTACGCAAATCAACATCCCTATCGGGTAGGTGAAGACTTCTCCTACCCGACGGTTATGTAAAAACCATCGAGAGAAGTCATTGTTAACAAAAGCAGCTACGCCCTAATTCCAGTTCTATCTAGAATCTTATCTTTCTTTATTAAAGAGACTTTCAGGTCGATTTGAAGTGAGTAAGATAGAGATAGAGATAAAAGAGTAAGAAGCCAGTTGTCTCCTCTTTCTCTTAGGGTGGTATGCAGTATTGGGGTTATATTAGCAAAAAATCACCATCTTAGCGCCCCTCGATGGGACTTCACATGAGAGCAGTGTCAAACAGTGGAGATTTTGTGCTTTAAATCTTTTTTTTTTTTAATCGAGCTGAAAGACTAGGGGTTCGAAAAAAAATATCGTTGTGCTCAGAAAACGAAGCGCTCTCAAATGATGAATAAAAACCAACAAGATTTTCAAAATTAAAGAACCCAAATTGAAATTATTTCCGAACTTAAAGTTCATAGTATAAGGAATTTAGAAAATTCCCTAAAAATTCTAGGTTTTTCCCAGGTAGTCATCCTGTCAAAGGCTTCCCAACCCATAGACTCCTAAGGGCTCTAAAATTGTACCCCCAAATCCAAACGGTTCGAATCATAAAAAAAACACATCCAATACTCACAGTTTCCCGCAGTGTTCGCACTTGATCTGGTCCTTGTCGCAGTCCTCGTGGTCCTGCATGTGCTGCCGATACTTGATCTCCCGCACGAACCATTTCGGACACCGTTCGCACTGGTACTTGACCGAATCCTCCGTCGGATGCATCTCGGCCACGTGCTTATTCCGGGCGTAGTCGCTCTGGAAGCACCGGAAGCACAGATCGCACCGGAACGCAACCGGATTCACTATCGATTGGATGTGCTGCAGCAGGCGCGGTCGGTTGTGATACCGATTGCCACAGCACAGGACCACCGGTTTCTGTTTGTGCTCCACCCGGCTGTGGCGGAACAGCTCCGTGTACGACTCGAACGTAGTCCCGCACGGGATGCAACCGAACTGCACGTGGTCTCGCATCATCTTGTCCTCGTCGAGCCGGTCCTTGCGACGCTTTTCCAGCTCTTCCATTCGCTTGATCTGCTCTTCGGACTTTTCCACCGGTAGTTTGATTTTGTTCAACCGATTCGTAAGATTGTACGGCCGTTTCGGAAATTGTACCTCGTGTCGTACTTTTAAATGCCGCTTCAATGCCGGACCATTCACGAAGTACTGCACTTCCTCGCATTGTTCGCACTTGAATGTCGTTGGATCTAGCACGTACTGCACGTGCTCGACGAGTCTAATCCTAGTGTGATATCTGTTCCCGCAACAGGAGACGAAACACTTTGTGGCCTTATGAACTCTTTGCAGATGCGTTATTAACCCTTTGAATGTTAAATCACTCGCCTCACACTGATCACAGTTCAGAACCACATGCTGCTTTATAAACTGATCCGGGTCCTCGCCTTCCCGTTCTTCCTCTTTGTCCGCATTCACCGAGTCTTCCTCGTCGTCACTTTCAGGCTCAGATTCGTCTTTCAATTCTTCAAATTCCATTGGAGCCACGCTCATCATGTCCGCCTCTTCCTCTTGATCCTGGAGGGCATCACTTTCTCCCAAATCACTGTCCAATTCCTCCTTGATATCCGCGTCCTCATCGTAGTCCATTTCCACTAGAAATACTTCGGTGGCTTCTTTCTTGATAGGTTTTTCATCATCCAGCATCAAGGGGATCTCCTTCTGCTCGTATAAATGTTCGGCAGTAACGTAAAACCGATGGAAATGGTCAATGTTGTCCCAGCAAGCGGAACAAATCAATGCATCCACTAGGTCTACCTCCTGGGGGAACGGAACAGTAAGTACATTCACAGTGATTGATTTGTAGATAATTATAAAATTCGTCGAAACTTACCGCAAACCAGAGATGCATTCTGACGATCCGGAAAATGTCCGGATCTCTAGTGCTGTGAGCATTGTCCGTGTCCGCCGTCTTGAAGCACGTTAAACAGTGACCGTGTGAATGATCCATTCTACTGCGATATTTTGGCTATTTCAACAATTAAATTTTAATGAAAATTAGTACTCCCGAACTGCGCAAACTTTGCCGATGTTTGATGTGTTTCGGAAAACAACGCGAACGTGAATCAAAACAAACTTACGAAATATCGGAAACGTCAAACTACCGGGCAGTCCCTCGTGTGCTTAGGGATGCCCAGATTTGTTGCGACTTTCTCCCCAACAACACTTTGCAATGTGTTTGTAAACATTGCCATTCACCAAAGGTTTACAACCTTCCGGACAACGAAAACCTTCCTCTGTCTCCCGCTCGATAGCTTCGGTAAGTTTGAAGTCAATGCTTACAATAACAATTTCTTCTTAATTATTATCTCCAGCAGATTCAAAACAAGATTCAATGGAGTTCAAAAATGAACTTCAGATCCTGCACAACTGCTTTGCCTGCCTGCGACATTCGGAAGATTCCTTGCAAATCCTATGCGACACAACAAGCGTTCTGAATTCGGTAACTGTCGTTGCGCTTTTGACCAAATACTTCTGGTTCCATCACGATGATTTCAACGCGGACCATGTTCTGTGCCGGAAGTGCTTGAATCGGTTGGACGAGTTCCACCGTTTCTATCTGGAAGTGGAACGAAACCATTGCTCGCTGAACCTAGCGACGCCGGAGGTCGGCAACTATGAGGTCAAACAGGAACGTAAAGAAGAACCACTGGATGCGCTGGGAGCGACCGAACCCGCTCAAATGGCAGTGAAGGTGGAGAATTTGGACGAATTCGAAGAGGAAGCCTCCGATGAGGAAACCAAAGCGGACGACTGCCTTTCGGATGAGGAGCACAGTGACAAGAATGAGAGCGAACCGGAGGAGATCAAACCAAAACGAAAGTATACAAAGCGAATCAAGACGGAGGCACCGGTGGTTAAGCGGAAAGCGAACTATCAGGTGAAGGATGCTAAGCAGTTGGCCGAAGAAGACGACATAATCAAGACACATGTGCAGTACATTTGCGAGGCGTGCGGCAGCAACTGTCCGACGTTTACGCAGCTTCAAAAGCACATGACGAACGTGCATGGAATGAAGGGTAGATGACGATTTGAAACGGTATTTAACAGCAATTTGAAGATTTTGTTTTACTTTAACAGGATGTATCACCTGCTGTGGAACGCGGTACCACAAGAAGGTCCGTTTACTGGAACACGTGCAGAAGCTTCAGGATCCGGATCGCTTCAAGTGTGATGTCTGTCACAAAAGTTTCGTCAATAATCACGGGATTCAGCGGCACAAGCAGGAAATGCACGTCCCAGACGAGCTGAAGATTTTCCATTGTGATCGTTGCCCGAAGCGATTCGCCAAGGAAAGTCAGCTGGCGTTCCACCTCAAAGGGCACGACAATCTAGACAACGAAACGGCCAAATGTTTGTCCTGCGAGCGAGTGTAAGTTTGGCATCAGTTTCCTTAAGATGAAGAACTCTTGATCATAGTTGATTGTTGTTTCAGTTTCCAGACGGAGTCGCAACTGAAGGTGCACGTTAAAATTCGACACACACGTCCCACGGATTACATCTGCGATGTCTGTGCGAAAGGATTCTACTCGAAGACGGAGTTCCTTCGACATAAGAAACTGCACGAACTGCGTCCGGAGGATCTACGGGTCCAGTGTGACATTTGCCATCAATGGTTGAAGAATAAGCTCAGTTGGCGAAAGCACTACCGACGCCATAACCAGGGCCCATCGGCTTGCGATATCTGTGGGCATGTGTCACCCAATGCTGTTGCACTGGCCCGGCATAAGCGGTACCTACATCGAACGGAGCCCAGTTTCGCTTGTCAGGATTGTGGCAAGCAATTTAAACGGGCCATCGGACTTCGGGAGCACATGGCCTCACACACTGGCGAGGCACTGTACACGTGCAGTTTCTGTGATAAAACGTTCAACTCCAATGCCAACATGTTCTCCCATCGAAAGAAGATGCACCCGAGGGAGTGGTTAGAGCAGAAGAATGCGCAGCTGGCAGCGCAGCAAGGAGTAACTGCAGCGGGAAGTTTGCAGTGACTTTTCTGTGTGGTTATTGTGGAATAAAAATTACGTTTGCAATGTTGGGCGATGGCGTACTTGTTGGCTTCGAAATCCTCGCAGGCCGTTCTTCTTCCAACAAAAAGGATAACGGTACGGCCATTGGATAATTGAATGCATACTTTTGTGTTGATCTGAGCAACCCTCCAATTCTCGGTTAGAGCCGTATTTACGGAGATAAATCGATTTAAAGATTTTCATACCCGTCAGCCTGAAAATTATGGATTGGGACATTTTTTTAAGGAATTTTTTTCTGACACCTAAAAACCCTCCAAATCTCGATAAGAGCCGTATTTACGGAGATAAATCGATATAAAGATTTTCATACTCGTCAGCCTTAAAATTATAAAAAAAAATCTGACACCTGAAAATCCTCCAAATCTTGATTAGAGCCGTATTTACGGAGATAAATCGATTTAAAGATTTTCATACCCGTCAGCCTGAAAATTATGGATTGGGACATTTTTTTACGGATTTTTTTCTGACACCTGAAAATTCTCCAAATCTCGATTAGAGCCGTATTTACGGAGATAAATCGATTTAAAGATTTTCATACCCGTCAGCCTGAAAATTATGGATTTGGACATTTTTTTAAGGATTTTTTTTTTCTGACGCCTAAAAACCCTCCAAATCTCGATTAGAGCCGTATTTACGGAGATAAATCGATTTAAAGATTTTCATACCCGTCAGCCTGAAAATTATGGATTGGGACATTTTTTTACGGATTTTTTTCTGACACCTGAAAACCCTCCAAATCTCGATTAGAGCCGTATTTACGGAGATAAATCGATTTAAAGATTTTCATACCCGTCAGCCTGAAAATTATGGATTTGACCATTTTTTTAAGTTTTTTTTTCTGACACCAGAAAATTCTCCAAATCTCGATTAGAGTTGCATTTACGGAGATAAATCGATTTAAAGATTGTCATACCCGTCAGCCTAAAAAATAAGGTTTTGGACATTTTTTTAAGGAATTTTTTTTTCTGACACCTAAAAACCCTCCAAATCTCGATTAGAGCCGTATTTACGGAGATAAATCGATTTAAAGATTTTCATACCCGTCAGCCTGAAAATTATGGATTGGGACATTTTTTTAAGGAATTTTTTTCTGACACCTAAAAACCCTCCAAATCTCGATAAGAGCCGTATTTACGGAGATAAATCGATATAAAGATTTTCATACTCGTCAGCCTTAAAATTATAAAAAAAAATCTGACACCTGAAAATCCTCCAAATCTTGATTAGAGCCGTATTTACGGAGATAAATCGATTTAAAGATTTTCATACCCGTCAGCCTGAAAATTATGGATTGGGACATTTTTTTACGGATTTTTTTCTGACACCTGAAAATTCTCCAAATCTCGATTAGAGCCGTATTTACGGAGATAAATCGATTTAAAGATTTTCATACCCGTCAGCCTGAAAATTATGGATTTGGACATTTTTTTAAGGATTTTTTTTTTCTGACGCCTAAAAACCCTCCAAATCTCGATTAGAGCCGTATTTACGGAGATAAATCGATTTAAAGATTTTCATACCCGTCAGCCTGAAAATTATGGATTGGGACATTTTTTTACGGATTTTTTTCTGACACCTGAAAACCCTCCAAATCTCGATTAGAGCCGTATTTACGGAGATAAATCGATTTAAAGATTTTCATACCCGTCAGCCTGAAAATTATGGATTTGACCATTTTTTTAAGTTTTTTTTTCTGACACCTGAAAATTCTCCAAATCTCGATTAGAGTTGCATTTACGGAGATAAATCGATTTAAAGATTGTCATACCCGTCAGCCTAAAAAATAAGGTTTTGGACATTTTTTTAAGGAATTTTTTTTTCTGACACCTAAAAACCCTCCAAATCTCGATTAGAGCCGTATTTACGGAGATAAATCGATTTAAAGATTTTCATTTCCGGCAACCTGAAAATTATGGATTGGGACATTTTTTTAAGGAATTTTTTTTTCTGACAACTGAAAATCCTCCAAATCTCGATTAGAGCCGTATTTACGGAGATAAATCGATTTAAAGATTTTCATACTCGTCAGCCTGAAAATTATGGATTGGTACATTTTTAAAGGGATTTTTTTCTGACGCCTAAAAACCCTCCAAATCTCGATTAGAGCCGTATTTACGGAGATAAATCGATTTAAAGATTTTCATACCCGTCAGCCTAAAAATTAAATTATGGTTTTGGAAATTTTTTTAAGGATTTTTTTTTCTGACACCTGAAAACCCTCCAAATCTCGATTAGAGCCGTATTTACGGAGATAAATCGATTTAAAGATTTTCATACCCGCCAGCCAGAAAATTATGGATTGGGACATTTTTCTAAGGATTTTTTTCTGACACCTGAAAACCCTCCAAATCTCGATTAGAGCCGTATTTACGGAGATAAACCGATTTAAAGATTTTCATACCCGTCAACCTGAAAATTATGGATTGGGACATTTTTTTAAGGAATTTTTTTCTGACACCTAAAAACCCTCCAAATCTCGATTAGAGCCGTATTTACGGAGATAAACCGATTTAAAGATTTTCATACCCGTCAGCCTGAAAATTATGGATTGGGACATTTTTTTAAGGAATTTTTTTCTGACACCTAAAAACCCTCCAAATCTCGATTAGAGCCGTATTTACGGAGATAAATCGATTTAAAGATTTTCATACCCGCCAGCCTGAAAATTATGGATTGGGACATTTTTTTAAGGATTTTTTTTCTGACACCTAAAAACCCTCCAAATCTCGATTAGAGCCGTATTTACGGAGATAAACCGATTTAAAGATTTTCATACCCGTCAACCTGAAAATTATGGATTGGGACATTTTTTTAAGGAATTTTTTTCTGACACCTAAAAACCCTCCAAATCTCGATTAGAGCCGTATTTACGGAGATAAACCGATTTAAAGATTTTCATACCCGTCAGCCTGAAAATTATGGATTGGGACATTTTTTTAAGGAATTTTTTTCTGACACCTAAAAACCCTCCAAATCTCGATTAGAGCCGTATTTACGGAGATAAATCGATTTAAAGATTTTCATACCCGCCAGCCTGAAAATTATGGATTGGGACATTTTTTTAAGGATTTTTTTTCTGACACCTAAAAACCCTCCAAATCTCGATTAGAGCCGTATTTACGGAGATAAACCGATTTAAAGATTTTCATACCCGTCAGCCTGAAAATTATGGATTGGGACATTTTTTTAAGGAATTTTTTTCTGACACCTAAAAACCCTCCAAATCTCGATTAGAGCCGTATTTACGGAGATAAATCGATTTAAAGATTTTCATACCCGTCAGCCTGAAAATTATGGATTGGGACATTTTTCTAAGGATTTTTTTTTTCTGACACCTCAAAATCCTCCAAATCTCGATTAGAGCCGTATTTACGGAGATAAATCGATTTAAAGATTTTCATACCCGTCAGCCTGAAAATTATGGATTGGTACATTTTTAAAGGGATTTTTTTCTGACGCCTAAAAACCCTCAAAATCTCGATTAGAGCCGTATTTACGGAGATAAATCGATTTAAAGATTTTCATACCCGTCAGCCTAAAAATTAAATTATGGTTTTGGAAATTTTTTTAAGGATTTTTTTTTCTGACACCTGGAAACCCTCCAAATCTCGATTAGAGCCGTATTTACGGAGATAAATCGATTTAAAGATTTTCATACCCGTCAGCCTGAAAATTATGGATTGGGACATTTTTCTAAGGATTTTTTTTTCTGACACCTCAAAATCCTCCAAATCTCGATTAGAGCCGTATTTACGGAGATAAATCGATTTAAAGATTTTCATACCCGTCAGCCTGAAAATTATGGATTGGTACATTTTTAAAGGGATTTTTTTCTGACGCCTAAAAACCCTCCAAATCTCGATTAGAGCCGTATTTACGGAGATAAATCGATTTAAAGATTTTCATACCCGTCAGCCTAAAAATTAAATTATGGTTTTGGAAATTTTTTTAAGGATTTTTTTTTCTGACACCTGGAAACCCTCCAAATCTCGATTAGAGCCGTATTTACGGAGATAAATCGATTTAAAGATTTTCATACCCGTCAGCCAGAAAATTATGGATTGGGACATTTTTCTAAGGATTTTTTTTCTGACACCTGAAAACCCTCCAAATCTCGATTAGAGCCGTATTTACGGAGATAAATCGATTTAAAGATTTTCATACCCGCCAGCCAGAAAATTATGGATTGGGACATTTTTCTAAGGATTTTTTTCTGACACCTGAAAACCCTCCAAATCTCGATTAGAGCCGTATTTACGGAGATAAATCGATTTAAAGATTTTCATACCCGTCAGCCTGAAAATTATGGATTGGGACATTTTTTTACGGATTTTTTTCTGACACCTGAAAACCCTCCAAATCTCGATTAGAGCCGTATTTACGGAGATAAATCGATTTAAAGATTTTCATTTCCGGCAACCTGAAAATTATGGATTGGGACATTTTTTTAAGGAATTTTTTTTTCTGACAACTGAAAATCCTCCAAATCTCGATTAGAGCCGTATTTACGGAGATAAATCGATTTAAAGATTTTCATACTCGTCAGCCTGAAAATTATGGATTGGTACATTTTTAAAGGGATTTTTTTCTGACGCCTAAAAACCCTCCAAATATCGATTAGAGCCGTATTTACGGAGATAAATCGATTTAAAGATTTTCATACCCGTCAGCCTAAAAATTAAATTATGGTTTTGGAAATTTTTTTAAGGATTTTTTTCTTCTGACACCTGGAAACCCTCCAAATCTCGATTAGAGCCGTATTTACGGAGATAAATCGATTTAAAGATTTTCATACCCGCCAGCCAGAAAATTATGGATTGGAACATATTTTTTTTCTGACACCTGAAAACCCTCCAAATCTCGATTAGAGCCGTATTTACGGAGATAAATCGATTTAAAGATTTTCATACCCGTCAGCCTGAAAATTATGGATTGGGACATTTTTTAAAGGATTTTTGACACCTGAAAACCCTCCAAATCTCGATTAGAGCCGTATTTACGGAGATAAATCGATTTAAAGATTTTCATACCCGTCAGCCTGAAAATTATGGATTTGGACATTTTTTTAAGGATTTTTTTTTTCTGACACCTAAAAACCCTCCAAATCTCGATTAGAGCCGTATTTACGGAGATAAATCGATTTAAAGATTTTCATACCCGCCAGCCAGAAAATTATGGATTGGGACATTTTTCTAAGGATTTTTTTCTGACACCTGAAAACCCTCCAAATCTCGATTAGAGCCGTATTTACGGAGATAAACCGATTTAAAGATTTTCATACCCGTCAACCTGAAAATTATGGATTGGGACATTTTTATAAGGAATTTTTTTCTGACACCTAAAAACCCTCCAAATCTCGATTAGAGCCGTATTTACGGAGATAAACCGATTTAAAGATTTTCATACCCGTCAGCCTGAAAATTATGGATTGGGACATTTTTTAAAGGGTTTTTTTCTGACACCTGAAAACCCTCCAAATCTCGATTAGAGCCGTATTTACGGAGATAAATCGATTTAAAGATTTTCATACCCGTCAGCCTGAAAATTATGGATTTGGACATTTTTTTAAGGAATTTTTTTCTGACACCTAAAAACCCTCCAAATCTCGATTAGAGCCGTTTACGGAGATAAATCGATTTAAAGATTTTCATACCCGTCAGCCTGAAAATTATAGATTTGGCCATTTTTTAAAGGTTTTTTTTCTGACACCTGAAAATCCTCCAAATCTCGATTAGAGCCGTATTTACGGAGATAAATCGATTTAAAGATTTTCATACCCGTCAGCCTGAAAATTATTGATTGGGACATTTTTTTAAGGATTTTTTTGTCTGACACCTGAAAACCCTCCAAATCTCGATTAGAGCCGTATTTACGGTGATAAATCGATTTAAAGATTTTCATACCCGTAAGCCTAAAAATTATGGATTGGGACATTTTTTTAAGGATTTTTTTTTCTGACACCTAAAAACCCTCCAAATCACGATTAGAGCCGTATTTACGGAGATTAATCGATTTAAAGATTTTCATACCCGCCAGCCTGAAAATTATGGATTTGGACATTTTTTTAAGGATTTTTTTCTGACACCTGAAAATCCTCCAAATCTCGATTAGAGCCGTATTTACGGAGATAAATCGATTTAAAGATTTTCATACCCGTCAGCCTGAAAATTATGGATTTGGACATTTTTTTAAGGATTTTTTTTTTTCTGAACCTGAAAACCCTCCAAATCTCGATTAGAGCCGTATTTACGGAGATAAATCGATTTAAAGATTTTCATACCCGCCAGCCTGAAAATTATGGATTTGGACATTTTTTTAAGGATTTTTTTCTGACACCTGAAAACCCTCCAAATCTCGATTAGAGCCGTATTTACAGAGATAAATCGATTTAAAGATTTCCATACCCGCCAGCCTGATAATTATGAATTGGAACAAACCGTCCAAATCTCGATTCCCGATAACGGAGATAAATCGGATGGATTATGGATTTTATCTTCAAAACAAAGATCAAGAAGCAATAAGAGGTTGGATATAGTTCAGTGATCATCAGCCATATCCATTTACTTCATATAGCAGTTCTACCGTCAAATACCCTAAAGTTGCGTAATACTTTCCTGCAGCTGCACGTTCAGATCCTTCTGCTCCTGAACAAAGTTGGGGTTTTTGCGTAGCTTATCCTCGAGCCATTCCTTCGGGTGCATCCGCTTCCGATGGGACGCCCGATTGGCGTGCGAGTTGAATGTTCGGTCGCAAAAATCGCAACTGTACAGCACTTCGCCCGTGTGCGATGCCATGTGCTCCTGTCAAAGGAAAATATGTCAACTCAGGTTAACAAAAATTGTCACACGCCATACCTTCAATGTCAACCGCTTCTTGAATGTCTTCCCGCAAATGGAACAGAAGCAATCATCCCTTTTGTGTTGAGCCTTGTGATACCGCAAAGCCATGACGCTTTTGCACTCCTGACCGCAGACGTCGCACGTTTGCGTTCCCGAGTGGCGCAGCATGTGCTTCCGAAAGTTTTGCTTGTAGACCCTTGACGATAAGATGGGAATTGTTTTATACGTTTCTACCAGGGTTAAATAAGTTACCGAACCTACCAAATATTGCACTCGCTGCACTGCACCCGTTCCTCCGGTGGCCTATCCCGCTTGGCTTCCTCGTCATGCGACGCCAGGTGGGAAGAGTACGAGGACAGTACCTGGAAGCCTCGTGCACAAATGTGGCACACGTACGAGAACTCCTTCGTGTGAACCAACCGATCGTGCTGTCTCAGCAACGATTCGAATGCAAAATACTTATCACACTTCTGGCAGTGCCAATTTTTCTCATTTATCTTTCGGTGGTACTTCTCGTGAATATTAAGAAACTTTTGCCGCGAAAAGGTCTTCGGGCACATGCTGCACCGGAACGTCTTGCTTTCCTCTTCGGCGTGCCGTTGAGCTTTGTGATTGCCCAAGGCTTCACTGTGCTTGAACTGCTTCGAACAAATATCGCACCGGAACTGCATCGGGTTCAGATGGAACTGGATGTGATCGATCAATCGGGGCTTCCGGGTGAACTTTCGATCGCAACAGCGGACAAATGCTCGCTTTTCGTGTTCGTCCATTGAATGCTTCTGCAATTCCTGGAATGTGTCATGCTTCTGCAGGCACGTGTCGCATTCGAGATTAATGTTCTGTGCAATGAATTCCTCGTCTTTGATCGTTTTCTGCCAACTCTTGACCGGGCGACCAACCGGGTTCGGTTTCACTCGAGTCTTCCCCTTTTCCTTCGGAAGCTCTTCTTCGTCGGAAACCTCGTCCCCTGCATCAAACTCAGGATCATTGTCATCATTTGCCGCCGCAGAATCGTTTTCACTCTCGAAGTTGCTTTCGGCATGGCACCTCCTTCGATGTGCAGTCACCAGCTTCTTCTGAGCAAACTTCTTGGGACATCCATCGCACTGGTAAATCTTCTCCCCCTCCGTCGCGTGCTTGACGTACATGTGGTTTTTCAGTGCTTCCCCGTTGGGGCACCGCTTCGGGCATTTGGAACACTGGAACTGATCCGGGTCCAAGTGATACCGAATATGATCGAAAAACCGTGACTTCTGACAGAATTTCCGTTCGCAGCAAATGATAGTGGCCCTTTTTTCGTGGTTCGCCATCGAATGCTTTTGCAGACTATCAAATGTGGGATGCTTCTTCGAACATGCACTGCAATCTAGCTTCAAGTGCTTCGCGACGAACTCATTAACCTTGGCCTGTTCAGCTTTGGTCAATCTCTTACGCCTTTTGCGGACGGGTTTGTCCTTTGAATCACCTGTATCGCCCTCTTTGAAATCCGGATCAGACTCCTCCGCAGAACTTACATCTTCCTTCTCGTTAGGACAGTACTCATCTGTTTCCTCGCCATCTTCGCTTGCGTCCTCATCGTCGTCGTCGTCGTCGTCAACGTCTTCTCGTTCACATTTAATATCTGATGCTTCGTATTCGGGAATGAACTGCTGTTCCTGTTTGATTTCCAGCACATTGATCGGGTGATCACTTTGGTGGGAATGTGTTCTTTCAACTTCGCAGTAGAACTGATGGAAATCGTCTATTTTACTCCAGCATGGCTGACAAAGGACGGCCTCGGCCCATTCATCTTCCTACAATCGGAAATAAGGATGTCTTTTTGTAATGAAGCGTGAATGAAATTACCATGTGCTATCACTATTATTTCAAGCGATCAAAATGGATTGACAAATAGCAAACTTTCATTGAAAATGTCTCCAGTTGGTCTCCGCAAGCGTTTCCCCAGTGTTCCTGAGAGAACAAACAGAAACACCACAGAATATTGTGATATGAATTGAGGTGATCAAAGCCTTACTTAAAGGTTGCCTCTTCAATAAAACATCTTGTATTTAATCGCCGGTAGCTCAATTTACGTTGACTTCTTTACAAAAAACCTATTATTTTATGAACTTTACTTTGTTCTCCTTGACCTGAGCAATGGTGTAACCGACAGGCTAACGTTACGATAATAAATTACAATTTACTTACATAGTTCCATTCAAGTCTAGCAGTATTTTAAAACTGCTTGACTGGCAGATGTGATGAAGATATTCAAATGGTTATAATATCGACGCAAGCGAACGTATAGAAGAATTGCTTGAATTTCCGCCTGGATCACGGTCGGTCTATTAGTCGTGGATGTAGAAATCATACTTACGCTAAACCAAAAGTGCTTGGCAAGTGCGCCCTGTATGGTTCCATTATTACAAATCGGAATCGAACCGGCTGGCTCCGCAGCATTCGTACATGTTAAACAGGTTGTCATCTGTATATAGGAGGACGAAACTAATGTGTGTATTGCAAAATGTTTGCTATAAGTCTTACCTTTAATAGTTTTTTTATTTACTCTAATTACAGTTTATTTAAATAACTTTTTCGTCTTTTCTGCATTTTCAGCACAAAACCAAAATTCACTGGGCGAATCGAACTGAACATTGAAGTAAACAATAACAAACAGCTGTCAGTGTCAATAATTAATATGCATATTATTTCGACGGTTATTTTACATAAGGGCCAAAGTCGCAGGCGTAAACAATGGGCTAAGAGTTGGAGAGGAAAGTCATTTCAAAGCCCCACCTAGGAAGTGATCCAAAATTACCGCGCAACAGCCTCAGGAGGCCTCTCGTATTTAACCTCGAGTCATCTTGAAGAAACCAGGAAGAAACGGTAATGTTCCGAAAGCCCCTCCACCGGGTTTCAACTCATTTGATTTTTTAGGGACTTTCCGCGACTTCCAGGTTCTTCCAAGGCTCCAGATGTTCTAGTTCCACAACCAGGACAACATGAAGCCATAGAGCTAATTCTAAGCCATGTTTACGTTTTCGGGAATTGTGGATGGCATTCTCGAAATATTAAACTCCAAACTCCATGAGAAACTTGAAAACATGTTTAAAGCAACTAGCTTCTAAATGGCCATCGCTTTCGTCGATCACCAACTTTGCAGTTTAGAATACTAACGTTTGAGAGTGTGGTAGAGTTTTGTCTGTTCGTGTATAAATTTTAGTACCTGTTCTCTCATCGTGGTCCCTTCCCACGCCCCTCTGTTTATGTTTCGTTGCAGTTGTAAACAACCATCAGTCATCAGTCGAGAGAGATCAAACAGCCATTCAACGGCAGTGGAGATAAATATATCAATCACATCTTTGTGTACCCTAATAAAAATTGTATGGTTAATTTGCTTAACGACGTGTTCTGGGTATCATCCAAACCATTTGTGGAATAGTTCAATGATTTGGGTTATCGTTCGTTTATGGTTATTTTTTATTAGGGTACCTTTTCATTGTTCCCTTCCCTACCTGTTAATAGATTGAAGTCCGTAGCCTCTGTCGTGACCTGACCGAGGTTTCAAGCCTCGGCCATGTGTCTTAACAAAGACCAGTGAGATGCAGATCCGTGTGCTAACACATTCGTTAAATCAGTGCCAACATTTCAAAGGGGCGTAATTGCATTTGTAAACAATGGTTTTAGTCGTCGATTTCTCGTGAATGAAAGCTCACTCATAAAAATGAATGACACCAGCAGGTAGAGAAATGTTTCCTGTACCAGCTAACATTGGTAATTTGGAAGAGTGGGCTTTTATTTGCGAGAAATCGACGGCTAAAGCCATTGTTTACAAAAGCAATTACGCCCCTTTGAAATGTTGGCACTGAAATGACTGATTCGTTCAAAGCAAAAACAAAAAGAAAAGGATTTAGATTCAATATTTGGCCTAATGCCGTGTATTTAGAGCTTCAACTCTACTTTTCAAATTTGCTAGCAGGTGAGGCTGTACACTATTTCTGATTCATAAAACTGAGTCTTTACAGACGTTTAGGGAATATCCAGGGGCGAGATGTGCTGGCAAATCTGCCAAGTTCAAAGAATTTTGCAGAAGCTCAGCAAACTTTGCAAAAGTTCAGTAAACTGCGTGTAGAAGTGCTGAGAGCTTTATGGAAGTTTAGAATTTTTTTGTAAAAATTCAGAAGAGCTTCATCAAACTTTGTAGAAAAACAGTTAACTCTAGAAGAATTTTGTAAAACTTTGAGGAACTTCATTGAAGATCAGGGATTTTTATTTAACACTTCAGGGAACATCGTAAAACATCAGGGACATCGTAGAAGTTCAAGGAACATCAGCTCTGAAAACTTGGTAGATATTCTAGAAACTTCGTAGAGCTTCAGAGAACTCCGTATAAATTCAAGGAACCATACGAGAACAAAACGCCCACGGAAGTCTAAAAAAAAGGAAACTACCGGTAAAAATGTTTACCGTTTTCGGTAAATTAAAATGAAATTACCGAAATTCGGTCATTTCATTTACAGTTTTCAGCAATAATGCGAGAAAATACCGAAACATCTGTAATTGTTAGCATTACCGATCTAAGACGGTAATTTTTTTACCGAACTCAGGGTCTCTGTTTAAGTGTGTATAACGTGAAGAAGTGGAATCTTTGAAGGAGTCTAGGAAACTTCATAGAAGTTCAGGGAACATCGTGTAATTTCACAAACCCTACAAATGTTCGGAGATCTACAATTTCAGGACACTTTGATGCATTTGCTATAGAATTTCAGACACCTTTCAGATGTTCAGGAATATTGTTAGAACCTCGGTTAGAACCGGTTGAGAGTCACCCTGTATGTTTGGAGAAGTTCATAGATGCTCCGAGATCTTGTTAGAATTAAGAGAGCTTAGAAAAATATGGAATTAGGAAGTTGTTCAGAAGACTTTGAAAAATTTGAGGACATTTTCCAGAAGCTAAGAGAATTTTCTAGATATTCAGATTCAGGTATCATTCTATAAGTTATAGAACAATTGAGCAACTTCAAAGAAATTCAGTGAACTTCCTAGAAAATTAGAATAGCTTAGTAAACTTCATAGAAGCTCAGTAAATTTCGGAATAATCCAACAAACTTCTTAGAACTACAGGGATCGTCGTATAAACTGAGGGAGCTTCGTATGAGCTATGTAGAAATCATAGAACTTTAAGGAAGCTCGTAGAAGTTAACAGAACATCCCACAAGTTCAGGGAACATAATAGAGGCCAAGGAAACTTCGGATAAACTGAAGGGATTGGGAAGAAGTTGAGGGAGCATCGTAGAACTCTCGTTCCCTAGGAGTTCCAGTACCATCGGTGCCTGGATTTATTATCAAAACGTGAGAGGTTTGAGGACTAAACTGGACGACATTTTTTTGGCATCTCTCGACAGTACCTACGATGTCATTATGCTAACGGAGACAGGATTAGACGACAGCATCAATTCCCTGCAGGTTTTTGGAAATTCAGGGGGCCTCCCTTAGCTCAGTCGGCGCAGCTACAAAGCAAGACCATGCTGGAGGTGGCTGGGTTAGATTCCCGGTCCGGTCTAGGAATTTTTTGGGTTGGAAAATTTTCTCAACTTCCCTGGGCGTAGAGTATGATTTTATGTACTTGCCACACAATTATTCTAATGCAAAAATGGTACAGGCATCGAAAGCTCTCAATTAATAACTGTGGAAGTGCATCTAGAACACTAAGTTGAGAGCAGGCATGGAAAATCATTTGCATTCATTTCGTACATTCATTTACATTCATTTGCCCCTAACTTTTTTCATCAACAGAATTCCGCAAAATTATGTATGGAACTTTTGTAGGTTTTGTTAAGAACTCAAATTCGTATCTCTTATGCATGACGAACCAGAGCAAACAGAATCCACTACTGTTTTTCAGTGAATGTATTTTACAATCACTGAAAACAGTAAAGAGTTCTGCCCACTCTAATTCGTGATGGATAAGAGATACAGATTTTAGTTATGAGCAAAAGTTGTAGCTAATCACAAAACCTACTAAAGCTCTATACATCATTTTGCGGAATGCTGCTGATGAAAAAAGTTAGAGGCAAATGAATGTAAATGAATGCATGAAATGAATGTAAATGATTTTCCATGCCTGGTTGAGAGCACGCAATAACCTAATATGCGATATGCAATAAGCTTGAAGTGCGAAGAAGAAGAAGAAAGTTTTGGAAATTCATTCAACGTTTTCCGTTGTGATCGTTCCCCTTTAGTGAACCCTACACGATTGCTTTTATTGACAATAATCGTATTGTCAATACATGCTATATTGACGTCAATATATCGAGATTGACAATATTTCTGAATTCACATCATCAATATTATTGTCAATAATTCCCCTTCGCGTCAATATATTGATGCGTGTGGGGTTTGCTTTTGAATAGCAACAAGCGCTGCCGAACGACATGGCAGCTCGCGCATTGATACGAACATTGCAATGGCAGGAGACTGGAGCAAGTGTGTGTTTCTGCCAATATTCGTGGTCGTCGGTTCCTGATGTGCAATATCTACAGTCCTCCGGACAAAAGCCGTAATGTCGATCTCCGGACAAAAGCCGTAATGTTGGTCTGAGGATGAAAATGGCATTCGTCTTGCTTCTTCGACGCTTTTGACTCCGGCGAGTACATTGTTATTCGACGGTATGGACTTCTTGAACCTGAATCAAGTTAACGTGCAGCTGAATAATTTGGGTCGCACTCTCGATTTGGTTTTCGCGCCCGTGGGTAGCTTTTCTGTAGTATATTCTGCTGATGATCCATTGCTGCCAGTAGATCTGCACCACCCCCCACTTAATATTCGCGTTAATGTTGCAGGCCACTTCCGGTGGCAAATGAATTCGAAAGAGCACTCAATTACCGCAAAATCGACTTTGATGTGCTTTCGACTGGAATTGTATCTACGACAGTCCTCAACATGGCCTCAAATTTGTGTGCCATCATCCGCCAATGGTTGAACTTAAACGTTCCTACGAAGAGAAAACCTGTCTCTCCTCCCTGGAGTACGCCCCTTCTTCGGAAATCTAAGAAAGAACGCAATCGGTGGTAACGTTATTTCCGGGTGCATAAATCCGTATTAGCAAAAGCTAACTTCAAACAAGCGAGCGACGGGTACAGAAAGTTGAATGCTTCACTCTACAAATCACACGTTTTGAGGGAGCAGTTTGGTTTACGCCGCGATCCGGAATGGTTTTGGGGTTTCGTAAACAGCAAGAGGAAAAGCTCATCAGTTCCGCCTAATGTGATCTATGATGGCAAAGAGTCCAATAGTGAAGAAGAAGCAAACTGGCTGCGTCAAATGTCGTGCTGGATGCAGTTGATTTAGACACGTTCGAAATTTCATCTAGCCGGCGCCGGTGGTGTAGTGGTAAGCGTGACTGCTTTCTAACACCCCGATGGGTCTGGGTTCAATCCCAGCCGAGGTCGGTGGGATTTTTCTGAGGCATAAAAATCTCTGGTGACGTC